CATATTGGTTAAGTACAGAAAAAAAATCTGATAAAAGAATTCAACACATATCCCGCTTAAAAATTCTTTGTAAACAAAGAATTGAGAACAACTTCTCCAACTAACTTCAAAAGAGTATTCTCTCAATATCTATCACTAAAACTATACTCAAGGTGAATTCCCTTTAAAAATCAAGAACAAAACAAAAATTATGACTATCACCATGATACCAGAGCTCCTACTCTATGAGGTGGGATAAGGAAAAGAAATAAGTTTTAATTATTTGAATGGAAGAAACAAAATCTATTCATAATCAGTACAGTGGCCTATGTAGAGAACACAAAAGAATCCTCAGATAATGTCTTAGAATAAATAAGGAAGACAGCTTGGCAAGTTCACTGGATCAATACTCAAAAAGAAATTACATTTCTATACATTAGCAACTAAGAGGTATAATTACTATAACAACAAATAGAAGAGACTCAGGAATCAATCTGATGAAAGATTTGCAAGGCTTCTGAGATAAGTATAAGCCAATCTTCCAGTAGGAAGACAGTGAAGATCCAGAATAATTTTTTAAATGCCGTGTTCATGGCTCAGGACACTCGGTATCAGAGCAATCTCAATTCTCCTCAAGTGGATATGTAGACTCAATACAAGTCCATTAAAACCTCAACATTTCATAGAACCACATGAAACCAAAATGCATATGAAAACAGAGGACAGAGAATGGGCATGGCCCTGCTGCAGAAAAATCAAGGTAGGAGACCTGCATTACCAGATATCTGGACTTTTTAAAAATGTGGTTATGGTCCAAAGGATAGACCTACTAGGACAGAACAGAAAGTCCAGCAATAGACCTTACACAGATGGAAACTTGATCATTGTAGGCACACACTGCAGCTCAGTGGGGAAAGAAAGAACCAAAACAGAAACAAAAACAGAACAATTGGTTATCCCTACCTCACACCATACCAAGGAATAACTTCCAGGGAATGTTTAAATGTAATATAAAAAATATTAAAAACATTATAAAATAATCCTTGAGGATTAGAAGAAAATATAAGACAGTATCTCTTCAATGTTGGGATAGGAAGGATTTCTGAAACAAGAGGCAAAAAGTCATAATCATAAAGAAAAAGATGGATAGATTTGACTACATTAAAACCAGTCATTTCTGTTCATCAAAGAAACAACAAAGAAAGTGAGGAGACAAGTCATAAACTTGGGTAAGAGATTTCTCATACACTAATGACATTATACATAAAGATTATATAAAACATGTAAACATAAAAGAACTCCTACAAGTCTATAAGAAGAAAACAAAACATCCAATAGAAAAACAGGCCAAAGAACACAAACGGCCATTTTCTAGAAAAGGAAATTTGAGGATCCAATACACATATGAAGCTTGTCTCACTTTCCTAGTAATCAGGGAAGGGAAAATGAAAACCATCATGAACTACCATTTTTCTCTCAATCCATTGGCAAAAAGAGAAAAAAAAAAAAGATCCCAAGTGTTGTTAATATTAAGTGTTGGGAAGGACGTGGAAGAAGGAAAACGCCTATGCAGCACAGGTGGGAATGTAAATTGGTTCAATGCTGTACAAAACACAATATGGCAGAATCTTGTGAGTTGAATACTTGCACACTCGCGACCCAGTAGTTCCACTTTCAGGTGTATATAACAGAGAAATCCTTGCGCAGCTACATCAGATGCCTTGTAAACGAAATGTTGGTAAGAGCATTGTTGTAATGGCAAAAAATTGGAAAGAACCCAAATACTCATTGTTAGAATAGGTAGGCAATTGCATCGCATATTCACCTAATAGACTGATATACAGCAGTATAAGTGAATTAAATAATATTAGAGGCATTAACATGGATGAATCTTAGAAATAAAAGGTTTGGGAGGACACAAGTCAGAGAATAAGACATGTATTTCATTATTACTTTTATAATATTCAAATCCAAGGAAAACTACACTAGGAGTTCATAGGTATGTGGTAGAATTGTAAAGCAAAGCAGAGAATCTCAAGAGTTATTAATTCACCTGTTTTGGGTAATTACTATAAAGAGATTGGCTAATACATGGGAAATTGACACATTTTCATGGTGGTCTTTAGCTCTAAGAATGGATGTGTCTTTTTTTGTTTTAAGTTTATTTCGAGAGAGAGAGAGAGAGAGAGAGGGAGAGAGAATCTCAAGCAGGCTCCATGCTGTCAGTGCAGAGCCTGACACGGGGCTTGATCTTAAGAACTGTGAGATCTCAAGATCTCAAGAACTTGAGCCAAAACCAAGAGTCTGTTGCTTAACCGACTGAGCCACCCAGGCACCCCAGAGAATAGAGGTGCCTTTAATGTCCCTCACAGGATATGGAGGTGAGGGATGTGGAGGGTAGAAGCTGGGATGCTGTGGGGGTCCCCGAACATGGGAGCCAACATTTCCTGCGTCCCCGAGCATGAATGTTTCTCCTCACATCTGGAGGTGGTCCACTTCCCCTCCACTTAAGTCAGGGCTGGTTTTGTAACTCGCTTTGACCACAATGCAATGAACTAATATTCTGGAACTTTGGAATCCACGCCTTATGAGGACTGAAGTCCCTGGCTCCCTCTCTCTGGGAGCTCAGTTGCCAAACTGTAAGAAAGGCCAGGCTATTGCTTGGAGGCCATGCTGAGCCAGGCCAGGATGGGAGTGGCACCTTGGATGCGGAGTCCAGCCAAGCTCTCAGCTGCATGCAAAGCAGGAGTGAGCAGCCAGTGAGAGCTGGTCAAACTCGGCCATCCCTCGGAACGAGGCCATGAAGTTCTGCGGTGGTTTGTTAGGCAGCAGCAAATGGAGAAGTGAATGCAAGAAAACCAGTGCTATTGGCATCTTTTGTTTCATTAGTTGGCTGGTGGGTTTCCAGAAACACATTGGTCATGATGCTTTATAACTTCCATACCAGTGATTTAAACTTTTTTGAATGTTTATTTTTGAGAGAGAGAGAGCACACAAGTGGGGTAGGGGCAGAGAGAGAGGGAGACACAGAATCAGAAGCAGGCTCCAGGCTCCAAGCTGTCAACACGGAGCCCGAGGCCTGGCTTGAACTCACGGAACTGCAAGATCATGACCTGAGCCAAAGTCGGACGCTTAACCAACTGAGGCACCCGGGCGCCCCTACATACTAGTGATTTATATACAGCATTTTGTATGTAGTGAATGCTTCGCAGTGTAACATATTTAACCAAAAAAAAAAAAAAGCTTCACCTGACATGCAAAAATGCATCTTCCTAATTTTGATTTGTATTTTCTATGTACGTGCAATTAAACATCTTTTCATGCTTAAGCAATGATCCATTTGTATTTCCCTTACTGTGAACTGCCTGTTCCTATTCTTCGCCTATTTATCTATTGGGTTGTTCATTTTTCATGATTTATAAAAATGTTGCCTATCAGGAAAATAGCCCTTTTTAAAGTGTCCTAGGTTTCAAAAACATCTCCCCCAGTGCCCGTTAAAAACCTTTTGACTTTGTGGTATATTTTGCTGTCCATAAATTCTAGTTTTTCATAGTCCAAGTTGTAATTGGTGGGTATCATACTTAGGTCTTCCCTCCTCTAAGATTCTTCTAAATCATTTAAGTACTTTTATGGCTTCATTTCATACTTAAAAACCTTGGTTTATGCAGAATTAATATTATTACTGGAAAGTAGGATCCAGGTTAAGTTTTGTCCAAATGGCTAGCCAGTTGTTCCATTAAAAAAAACCCAAAAACAACAACAACAAAAAAACCCCAGGGGGCACCTGGGTGGCTCAGTTGGCTAAGTGTCCAACTCTTGATTTCAGCTCAGGTCAGGACTTCATTGTTCGTGAGTTTGAGGCCACATTGGGCTCTGCGCAGACACTGGAGAGCCTGCCTGGGATTCTTTTTCTCCCCCTCTCCCTCTCAAAATAAATAAACATTAAAACACCAACAACAACAGGGGTGCCTGGGTGGCATGGTCGGTTAAGCATCTGACTCTTGATTTTGGCTCGGGTCGTGATGTCATATCACGGTTTGTGAGTTCGAGCCCTGCATCAGGCTCTGCGCTGACGGTGTGGAGCCTGCTTGGGATTCTCTCCCTCTCTCTCTGCCTCTCCCCTTGTGCACACGCACTCTCTCAAAATAAATAACTGCACTTAAAAAAAAAAAACCCACATGTGCCCCATTAAATATCCTCATATTTAAGACCATTTCCAGACCCTCCATTGAGTCCCGTTGACCTTTTCCTTTGCTACGTGGAACTCTTTAATTATAGTTTATGATGTTTAATACCTGGAGGCTGTTCTTTCCCCTTATAAGGACTTCCAGACTATTCCCCATGTTTACTTTCCCAAAAGAACCTTGTCAAGTTAAACAATAAATCCTGTCAGCATTTTAATTGTGATTGCATTGCATGCAGATTGACGTCTTCCCGAGATTGCCTTTGAGAACAAGGTGTGTCTGCAAACTTGAGTCATTTATGTCCCTCACAGGTTTATTGAGCCGGACCAGTGGCAAGGATGTAGGCACCCACCCTCACCCCGGTCCCGCTGGGTCCACCCCGCCAAAGTTCCGGGAAGCTCTCCCACCACCTCCTCTGTAGAATGAGACCCTGTGACTCATGCCAACCTCAGCTCGGACCCACCGAGGTGGTTACTAATTGCCCCGAAACTGTGAAGAACACTCCATCGTCCTTGTGCTTAAGGACAAGCAATAATTATGTCATCTTCCGTGCAGAACTAAACACGATGGTTTATAGGCACTTAAAAGCAGCCATGACCTTGGGCAAGTTACTTCCGGTCTCCAAGTCTACTCCACGTCTACTCTTCCTGTAAAATGTGAATCAACCCGGCTCGGCCTGGTGTGAGGACTGAAGGGGACTGAGGGGACACGGATGCTCCTTGGCTGAACCTCTGCTGGCCTCCCCGCCCTCCACATCCAGGCACCCTTGGCCAGCCTGTGGGATGGGGTGCACCTGCCCGGCGCCCTCCCCTACCCACTGCTCCCAAGTCAACGTCAGAAGTCAAACATTTTTATTGTTCTACAGACACTTCTGAAAAGGGATCTAACTGAGAAAATATACAAAGCATTTAAGACTTTCATCTCCAGAGAGCACCTAAGTCTGGCTGGAGGCGTCGAAGCCTCCTTTTCAAGGCTCAGGGCTGAGAACGGTTAGCATATTGAATGATCAGTAAAAACATGCAAAAGTGAGAAGGAAAAGGGAAAAAAGGCTGCATTCCTCCAAAGCCGGGGGACGGAATTTCAGAACGAGGGGGAGGCAGGGTGCACAAGTACCAGGTGGCTCTCCCTTCCCCCCACATTATCTTCTCAAACAGCTCCAAGCTTGGAGAAAGCAACGAGCCCACCCCCTCGTCTCTGCTCAGCGCTCAGCCCCGCAAGGCCGCCCACCTCGCTCTGTCCCCTTCCTGTGGCCATGGCTGCAGGACCTCACTTGTGCTCCTGGGGGGCCAGGGCGGGGGGCCCTGGCTCCTCCCTTCTTTGGTTCCACTCGGAGAACGATTGTGCTTGACGGACTCATCCCCACCCCTCGCTCCAGGCTCCCATTGGTGGGCTGAAGGCACTGACAGGAGTCCTGGGGGGAGAGCCCCAGGACACCGTCTTCCCTTGTGCTCTGGGGGGGGGGGGTCCATCCCTGGGCACATGACCCTACCCTCAGCCCAGGTCTGGGAATCTGGACGCAGGAGGAAATGTGCTGTCCAAGGAACAAGCCTTTTGGGACTTTCCCAACTGTGCAGATATCTCTGAACCCCATACCACACCCCACCCTGTCCCCTTGCCCAGGACCCCCACATGCCCGGTCCCTCCGTCTAGCCCTCCCCCTGGGCTGCCAGTGCAGCTGTGGGCTGGCCCCAGCGGACCTGACTTCAGGATGGTGGTCCCAGAAACCACCCTGTGGCGCCCTCCTGTCCCCCAGACCTGGGAGCTCGGAAGAGGTGGGGCCTCAAGAGGTCACGGCTCTGGTACAGGGAGGCGGGCAGGGCTGGAAAGGAACCAGGAGACACGTCACATCTATGGAAAGGTCCAAAGTACAAGCTAAGCGAGGGGAAGGAGGAGGGCCGGAGTGGCCAGAAGGGAAAGAAGGAAGAGGGCAAGGGCGGGGCCTGGAAGGGGAGGCCCTCACACCACCCCGCAGATGAGGGTCTCCACCACGAAGGTGTTCTCGAAGTGGCGGATGGCATTGCAGTTCTTGGCCCCTCGCTTGTTGATCCCTGAGAGGGAACAGAGAAATCTCAGTGAGGACTGTGTCCCGGCCCAGTGCCGGCTGGGCTGCAAAGGCAATCAGACTGGGAACTGAGCGGGACCACGAGACCTCGGGATCCCGGGGCAGGGAGGTGGGAGGAAGAGGCAGCCCCAGAAGTGATACCCAGACCCACTGACAGGCAGTGTACTGAAGGGGTGAGAGCCCAGCTCTGCCATCTTCCCTGCTGTGCGACCTCAGGGGTGTTACTGAACCTCTCTGTGCCTCCGTTTCCTCATCTTTCAAAGGGACAGCGAGAATAATGACGGTGGGGATAACTCACACCGTCTCAGAAGGACCTAAAGAGTGTAAACCAGGGCCTGGCCCATAGGACGTGCTCAGTCACCATTAGCTGTTACTACTGCTGCTACCGTCTGAGCTCTGGGAGGGCTGCTCTCCAGCCACGGGGCCCGGCACGGCCGGATGATGGTTTAGAGCTCAGGGCAGGGGCCCAGACGGGAGGAGCTGGCCACTCACGCCTCCGGGTAGCCCGGCGCCGCAGCCGGTAGGTGTCCTTCCCGCTGCACAGGTGGTAGATGAAGGAGCCCAGGGCCTCCTTGTCGCTGACGTGCTCCGTGACCACCATCTCCTCCTGGATGATGTACGTCTGCGGGAGGTAGGTCCCTCTCTGCGAAGCGAGAAGCCGCAGCGTCGGCTCAGTACCCGGGCTCTCCTCCCTCGGGGTCCCCTGGCCCACGGTCCGCTCCCCACGTCTCCACGCTGCTCACTCCGGCAGGGTCCCGTCCGCACGCATCCGCCTCCCCCATCCAGAGGCCCCGGGCCTCGCCCTTCTGACGTCTCCAGGCACCTTCCGTTTGTGCCAAGCACTGGTGCCCGCCGTGCCGCACGTGTGGGGGTCTGGTCTCCCACGGGGAGTGCTGCTCGGGGAGGGGGGCGACCCCACCTGTTCCCTGCACTGCTGAAGCGGGGCACGGCCTAGGAGGCTACAAAGCTGGAGAGGGAGCGGAAGCGTGGTGGGGAGAAGAAAAGGAGACGTGTGGACTCTGGGCGTGGGAGAAGGAAGATGGAGAAGGCGGGAACCGATTGGGGGTGCTGGGCCCCACTGACAGCAACACCCCCGGGCCCTCTGACCCCCACAGCAGGAGGCTCCCTTGCCCCGGGCCTGGCCCCTACGAGGCAGCGGGGCCCCTGCTCACCTTCACATTCATGAGGAGCTCCCAGAAGTTGCGAGGGGGCAGCACGATGGTGGTGTTGAGCTCGATAACATAGCACTTGTCCAGGGAGATGTCATGGTAGGCGGTGAGCCCCTGGGCAGGAGGAGGGGCCCCGTCAGTCCCTGCAGTCGAGGGCCTGGCCTGGGTGGGCTGGGAGGCACCAGCCCGACCACGCCGGTGCGATGCACCCCCGATTCCCGAACACCCGGGCGGGTGCTCCTGGGCTCCTGCTCGTCTCCTAGCCTGTATTTGCGGGGACTTCCACTTACTACGTGAAAAACACCAACTGTCCAGGGCCTCGGTCGTTACAAGGGTTCTTCTCATGGGATCACAGAGCTGAGGTTTGGGGAAGCCAGTAATGTTCCAATCGTGCATTCCATCAGACCTCTGAGGTCCCGGCATCCCTGCGGGGTCCCTGAGCCAGGACCCTCAGCAGGAGATGCTCCGTCCCTGGCTCTCTGGGGGGTTTCAGCTGTAAGACTGTCCAGGATACGGAGTGAAGGGATCGTACCGGACAATCCCCAGGAAGCTCTGGGAGGCAAGTACGGGGGGACAGGTGGCTGGAGAGCCCGTGTTTCACGGGCCTCAAAACGGTCACTGGCAACAGAAGCGCGAAGGATGGTTACCTCTGGGGAGGGGGTACTGGCTGGGGCGAGGGGAGGGCACCAGGGAACCTTCCGGAATGCTGGCCGAGGTCCAGATCTGATCCGGGTGGCACTACATGCAGGCCTCGGAGAAAACCCACTAAGCTGTACACGTAATGAGCTTGACTGGCGTGCTCTACCTCAAAAAAAAGTCACCGCAAAATACCCAACTGAAAGGACCATCGGCCTCGCCATGACAGCCAGCGTCCGCGCTAGTTCACGTTCAGTGAGAAACGCTACCCCTACACAACAGAAGCGAGGTCTTTAAAATCCTGATAAAGCGGACCCGTAGACGTCTGCCAGACATAGTTGCCGTCATAGACGGAGGTACTACGGGCACTCGTATTCTCCTTTCTCACGACCCTCGGCGGAAGGGGGTTCTGGGTCTTTAGGACACCCTTCCACCACTCCTGCCCCGGCCCTGGCTGGCCTCACCCGCTGGAAGTCATGAATGATGTCTGCAGGGTCCCCGCCGCCGAACTGGGGCACGGGCACATTGATGCGTTCATAGTTCTCTTCGAGGTAGATCTTCACGTCCTCCTCCAGCTCCATCCGAGTGCGGACCTGGGAGGACAGGGAGTCCTCGTAGAGAACGCCACAGTGGAAGAAGTTGTCCCGGGCCAGCTGGGCAAGGTGGAGGAAGAGACAGGCAGACCAGTCACACGGCGCCTCCGGCACGGCCACCCCGCCCACCCCACTGCGCCGCGACCCCCAAGGCCTGGGCAAGCACGAAGTGTGGGACTAATGAGACCCATTTCGCAGGTGGAGAAACTGAGGAACACGGGGAGTCAGGGAGGGTTGAGCGGGATCTGCCAGGTCCCAGGTGAACAACCTCTCTGGCCTTCAGTTTCCCCATCCGTGAAACGAGGTGATCCATCAGGCTTTTTCTGGCCTCTGGGTCCATGAGCCTGTGACTGAAATGGGATGGATCGGCAGGGGTAGGACCCGGCCACCACGTGCCCTCCACAGAGGGACAGACCCCCAAGCAAGAGCCTGGAGTGGATGGGGGGGCGCCCTTAGGGGCAAACACAGGAGCCCCGGATTGAACAGGCTGGGTGCCCAGGAGGGAGGAGAGTCGCTCAGAGAAAATCAGCTGCGTGGAGATTCTGGAGGCATCACTACAGCCAACCCCGTGTCCAACCTCACTCAAGTTCCACCACCTTCCCTGGACACCGGGCCCCACGAGCAACACTGTGCCTCTATCTGCAGAGCAGGCCTAACGGCTCCATCCACAAGGGCAGGGGGGCTGTGTGACCTGACTGAGGCCCAGTGATGTGCCCATGTGCACTTCTCCAGGGCTCCTCCAGATCTGTGTACAGACTCCTGGCCTGTCACGGGCAGAATTCCCCTTTCTGTTGCAGTGTAAGTTCTCCCAGAGCATGAATCATCGCACATGAATCATACTGTCCAGGGCACGGACTCAGAGGCCGCTCTGAGGTTCCCCTAGTCCCCAGCAGTTGGGATGGGGTGAGAAGCCCCAGGAGGGCACAAGTTGGGGCTGGGGACAGAGGGGACCAGGAGCCAGGCAGGCTCCTAAGGGCCACAGGAAAGGGCCCGGGAGAGGACTCCCATGGGAAAGGGAGAACCGGGAACACGCGGGGAGCTGGCCGTGGAGGGGGAAGATGGGGAGGCGGTGGGTGGGGGGGAGCCAAAAAAAAAGGGAAGTCGGCAGGTGTGTGGGAGCTGAGGTTTCTAGGGGAAAGTCACATGGAATACAAAAACTCTTCAGTAATTTCCATCACGGAAAAACTAAGTAATGAAGTGAAAAGCCAATGCTTGAGGGTGGGAGGTCACTTGGGTCATAAATGACTGGCAATTCTCAGCTTCTTTGTCACTCTGAAATTCCCTGTTCAGTACACTTACGGTTATTCTTTTGAGCTTTAATTTAACTCCCTTGGTGGCAACTGTCTTCCTCCCCAGGTCTGGGCTGATCGCAAGGTCACCGTGACCGTGACCAGTCCTCCCGCCCAGCTTCATGCCCTCACTTGGCTGTGTGAGTAGATAACGGGGGTGCTGTCACAGGCGGAGGCCACGCCTTGCGGGAGGTGGGGGTGCATCCGTCCACTAGCCGGCTCTCTGCCTTCCTTGTTTTGTGATCCAAGCAAACATCCAAGGCATGACCCTCGGGCACAGGGTCCAGCTCTAGAGGGATCACAGAGTTCCGATTTCTGCTGGATCTGAGTTTCTGGTGGTAACACTCCAGGGTAACACTGTGGGAAGGGGCAATGGATTCCAGTCCCAGCTCGCCCGCCACTAACCGTGTTCCTGGGAGAGCTCCTGGGTGGCCTCAGGTGTGTCTGAAGACGTGGCTAAGGACACTCCACCAGGGTCCATAGGGGTCAGAGGGCGGGGCTCCAGTTCTGTCTCCGGGACCAGGCAAGAGGCTGGCATGAGCCCAAGGAGGCCCCATGGAGGGAGGATGCGGGTCTTTGGTGCTTGGCTGGGCATTCACTCCCACCTGGGGGCAGGTCGCCTGCTGTCCCCCCTCCTCACAAGCCCTAAGGACCTGGCTGTCACCTGCCCATGCTCACTCTCCTGCCAGCTCCTCTCTAAACACCTTTCCCCGAGCCCCGTGCCTCCCCCCCGCCTGGCCTCACCTGTGCGAGGAAGAAGTATCTGTAGATGTAGACGGAGGCGAACACGAGGCCCATGAGCAAGACGACCATGCCCATCGACAGGTAGCACACGCCGCCCACGGAGCCCCCCTTCTTGTAGCGGTGGTGGGGGGGGCGTTCCTCCTGTGGACAGCAGTGCTGGGTCAGCCAGATAGATGGTGGTCCCGCACCTCTGGGGACCCTCCCACCCCCTTCCCGGAAGTGAGATCTCACCCTGCCGGCCGGGAGCGAGCCTTGGGAAAAAGGGGAGGGGAGAACGGGGCCAAGGACACACGAGCATCATCTGGAAGGGATGCCCCCCCCAGGGTCCTCCCAGCTTCCTCCCAGGTAAAGAGAAACTGAGACCCGCATCAAAGCCATACAGAACGACCCACTGGGATTAAGCGGGCACGTTTGGATTATCCATGCCATTAGTACCCTTTACTATGCCGGCTGTGACCACGATATATACTCTTAAACACAGAATGGGGGAAGCACAGATGTGGCCTTAATAAATGCACCAGACCTGGGAACCTATAGGAAATGGGGTGCACTGGGCAGGCTGGGAGCCAGAGAAGGCTTTGGATCCACCCGAAAGCTGGGGTGCACTGGGCAGGCTGGAATTGGGGCAGCGGGAGGTGCCTGCTGGGCTCCCCCCAGAAGGCCATGGCAGGGAGTGGTCACCGGCTGATGGAAACAGAGGCTCCAGGAGGCGCATGGGGTCTGGGCACAGTGCTGGTCTCCCTTGGACCCGGCGGCCCTAAGCCTACGATCCATGCTGGGCACAGCTCAGCTACGGCCCCGCACAGGCACCGGCTGGCAGTGTTAAATAGGCTGTCAGGAGTGAAGCCTGAAGGCTGAAGTCTGGAGGCTCCTGGACAAAACCTGCTCTGGGGAAGCCAGGCTTGGGCTCAGAACAGTAGCCACAGGTCTGCCAAGAAGCAGCAAGTTCAACTGACCGAACTTCAGGGCACACGGGTCTGGGCTGGTGGACGAAGGTGTGTGCGTAGATCTCGGTGACACCGCTTTACCCAGAGCACTGGACTGAGAGTCTCAGGATTCAGGCTCTTAATGAGCCTTGGCCATCTCTCGTTTGTGCACGTCCTGCTTCGCACCCCTGCCCTAACCCGGGCCCTCACCCACCCTGGGAGATGTTGCAAAAGCCCAGGCCTGTCTCGGCCTCCACTGTCCACCCTTCACACCCTCCTCCATGGCGTCCAGACACAGTCACGGTGAGGTCAGAGTCCAGGCCCAAGGACTCCCCACCCTCCAGGAGCTGAGGCCGGGTGGGTGAAGGGAAGGAGTTCCAGTCTCCACGTAAGCCACAAACTGTCTGCTTAGCCCCTTTTGTGCCAGGTTTCCTGTCTCCCTTTAGCCCTGGGGGGCTGGGGACACAGTTCAGGTCCAAGTTACCCTGGAGAAGCCCTTATCTCTTAGCCCAGCACAGGGGGCCTGGCCTGGTGGGGGTGGGGCACGGTGCCTGTTGTGATGCCCAGGCCCCAATCCCTGAAGCCCCCTGGCTTACAGCATACAGGGCATGGGGTCCAGGCCTCAGGGAGTGGAGGGGTAACCATCAGATGGGGCAAATGCCTCCCGCTTGGGGCTCTCCCACACACCCTCAAAGCCCAGGAAAAGGACAAAAATACCACGAGGACCCTCCCCCTCACTGGGCACACCCATCACCAGACCAGCTGGTCCCCCGCCTCTGCACCATGGGACAGACACAAGACGGACAGGTGCCCCGGCCCATCTTGTTCCCCAACGCCGCAGTCTGCCCTCCGGGGAGGTCGCCTGGCGCGGATGAGAGGTCAAACCCATTGTGCCAAACTCACTAGCTGAGCCCCTCTGCAGGCCTGGGGACCCTCCCCAGCCCGGCCCTGCCGCAGGGGTCCTGTGATCCAGACCAGGAAGATAAATTCATGACACCACCCACTTGGCTGGCATCTCCTCCACACGCTCGGGCCCTCTAACCAAGGTCCGACAGGAGCCAGGGGATTATAATGGTTTTGACTTTCAACGGGCTCCCAGGAGCAGCGCAGGACGGGGCAGCCTGGCAGCCCAAGTGCCACAAGGCACACGCCACCCCGGGGCCTCTGTGGAGGAGGGTGGTGGCGTCTCTGCTCCTCCACCGGTGGCGGACCCAGGAGACAGGTCAGGCTGTTGTGCCAGCTGCGGATCCTGCCCCTGGGGCTGGACGTTCACAGACAGTGGGGTGAGTGGTGGCCCCAAGTTGAGAGAGGCCTCAGCGGGGGCCGGGATCCCCCGTGAGGGGAGCATCTCTCAGGAAGTGTGAAGAGGCAGGGATTGAAGGAGACCAGGAACCTGAGAGCCCTTTGTCAAGGATGAAGTGCTACATAAAAATAGCAGATCTTTATCAGCTGAAACTTTCCTTTTCAGGGCCAATGCCAGGGCCAGCTGTAGAGACTGCACCCTGGCCATGCGGTCAGAAAACCAGAGAAGCCAGCTTGTGAGAACTGCTTTTAAAAAGAACAAAACAAAGCCAATGGTCCACAAGCGAGAGCCTGAGGGCCTGCTCCACAAGGAAGTTCACAGACAAGGAGGCCGATGGTTTTAGAGCAGCCGTTCTAGCCTTTCTGCTTCTGGCTGGGTCAGTGCCTGGGGCACGGCTGCGGCTCTAGGGCCGAGAAGAACGCAGCCTCCAGCAGGCCCCCTGGATACCACTCCCCGTCCCTACTCTGTGGGGGTCACTGTGAAGGCTGAGGATCCCCGGCCGTCCTAGGTGTGTGGGGACATACCCCTCACGTGTCTGGGGCTAACACAGTGCTCCCTATCCCACCTTTACTGATGCCCCCTAGTGCGTGCCTGAGGCTCAGCTGCCCTGCACCCCTCCAGCCTGCAGGGCCCAAACCTCAGAAAATTCAGGGCTGAGCAGCAGGCAGGAAGGGAAAGCAGGACCAGAGCTTGCCAGGAAGCAGACTGGAAGCCATGGATGTCCCTGCTTGGAGACAAAAGCCACTTCAGACATCAAGCCCCC